ATTATATGAAAATATTCCAAATGAGCAGATATTTTTGGGGAATGATAACGTCGCATACCTTCAGAACATCACTTCAATAAACATTGCATGAAAAACCAATCTATGAACCAATCACCTATCAAATCGATGTTTATCTAGCCTATTTGATAAACACTAATGATAATAGGTCTTTATTCCAAGAATGATAAAATAGATATCTGTGATGAAATGGGAAAGGCTGAAGATCAGTTGGTTGTATCTCAAAAGGTACAACCCCTGTTTTTTAATCTTAGACAAAAAAAAGTATATAAGGAAAAAAAAGTAGAATAAGGAAATGTTCAAATCAATGCACGAAATATGTTATTAAGTCAATAGTATATTAGTAGAAAGTATATATAGTCCGGTCAATTTGGACATTGACCCTACCATTGTAGCTACCTAAATTCCCACCAAGCTGAAAATCAGTAAGATTGATATGATTAAAATGAAATTTGAAAGTTTCCCATCTTTTCCCTATATGGATAAAAATTTATTCAAGGTCAAAGGTCAAATAAATTAGTTTTTCGCGATTTTCAGCAAAACGGTAAGTTTTATCATAAACATTGTAGATCATAAAATTATCTACAAAAATGTATCAATACTTTTTTCCTACGAGCCACCGTTTTGGAGATATAACGATTCAAAAAGTTGTAGTAGTTGTAATCGTCATAATATGCACTCGTTTCCACGTCAACTATAATGTAGTGTACTTAGCGCGTTTTTTTAACGTGGTTTCCCAGTAGGGTCAGTTGTGATCCTGTTTAATTTGAAACTATTGCAAAATAATTGTGACGATTACAACTCTTACAACTTTATGAATCGTTATATCTCAAAAACGGTAGCTCGTAGAAAAAAAAGTATTGATACATTTTTTGTAGATCATTTTATGATCTATAACTTTTTTCTGAAGTATTTCCATGATAAAACTTACGGTGTTGCTGAAAATCGCGAAAAACTCATTGTTTTGACGTACGACCTTTTATAATTTTTTTTCCATTCAGGGGAAAAATGGGAGACTTTCAAATTTAATTTTCAATCATATTTGAAACAATCCTACTGATTTTCAGCTTGGTGGGAATTTAGGTAGCTTTACTCTTATTTTTTGGTCTAATTTGACCGGACTATAAGTGTGCAGAACACTGGAAATAGTTATTATCAAGATTTAAGAACCACCATTATTATCGATAGTAAGTATACATTAGATTTCGTATGAATATTGTCTATTAGTCGTTTTAATGCTTTTTTTTATTCATGAACAGTTCTACAAGAACCAAAACCTAACCAGTCGGTTATCAAATACTTTCAGTCGTAGACGTGGTTTGTTAAAAAATATGGATTCTGTTCTAAAGTGAAGTATCTTCAATTTAGCAATATCAAAAATTGTTTTTGAAAAGAAGTCATCAAAAATGAGAATCTTGTTTAAGTACAATAATTTTCAACTGCAATTGAATATTCCAATATGCTTATCAAGTCTGGTCAAATTTTCTCAGTAACAAATTTTTAATACTGACAAAAATGAATGAGCAAAATTCATATCTTTTGAAAAACCTTGTATACGACTGACAGAATTTGATAACTACATAGTTGCATTTTAGATTTATGTCCTCGCAGAACTTTATATGGGGAATAATTTTTTTTCGTAAAATCAATAATAAAAAAGTTTTTTCTTTGGCCTCATGCATTCTGTATTAATATCGTGTTTTTTTGCATTCAAAATGTTCCAATATATAAGCTAATTATTAAGTAGACTCAGATTCTTCTACTTTGATCATTCATTTGAATTCCATACACTGCAAAAACTTGTTTTTTTACCCGATTACGCCAAACTAATAGGTAGGTTCATGATTTAGCAGTCTATGAATGTATTTATAAGTATGTCAAATGAAAGAGGGCAAAATTCTTGTTTCATAAATTTGAATGTGGTGAAATAAATAAGATACAGGGTGTCCCTGGACTTCCTCTTTTCCTCTCGGGAATGTATAGATGGGGTCAAAATATCACCAGTACTTCATATAACTTTTTTTCCTAAAATCCTTCGTTACCAAGTAACGGGCCCTCGAAGTTACAAAATGAAAAATGTTTTTCTTTGATAACTTTTCAAGTGAATATTCAAAATCATCCAAATTTTGGTA